AGATGAGCAAATGATCAAAATGATCATAATAAGGAGACAAGTGATCTAGAAGATCACATGACATAACACTTCATAAAATCTCAGGAGAGATTCAGGTACCTGAAAATATGAATAAAGAGATCTCTATGTCATGTCTTTATGAAAATAAAGCTGGAACCGATATAAAATGTTCGTCGACGACATCTATGTTAGCGCTAAGTATAGATGAGGATCTTAAGTATGTCGAATATAGACACAAAAATACTGGCCAAATGAAAGAGATACAATTCGAATAGAATTTATTTCATACGAAACACATATAGTTTTGGACCTTCAGTTCAAACACTTGAAAGTATGAATCCAATGATATGTGCAATCAGTTTTCGATATCTTATTTGCCTAGCATGACATAAAAACTTGATATGCATCCAATTAAAGTCTATTATATGACTTATATGACAATCCTTGAAGGATTTAAATCGCTTGAAGCATATACAATTCTTGATCTTGAAGTACCACTTCCTCAGTGCAATTTGTGCACAAATGTATCTTGCTATAACTATAGGCATGATAATATGATACCAAGAGTTTTTACCTTTATGTGAAGATATTGAACTGACAATTCCAACAAGATCATATGAAGGCAATTCATCTCTATCAAGAATGATGATTTCAAGGTGCAATATATTCATTCAAGCTAATATGGCTGATTTGTTCATCAAAACTCTACCAAAGATCTCTTGAATATGGTGCACAAGATTGAAATAAAAATGCTTAAAGATGTGAATTGATGCTCTCGTCAGGGGGAGTTAATACGCGTTGTACACTTTTTCCCTTACAAGGTTTTGTCCCACTGGATTTTCCTTGCAAGGTTTTTAACGAGGCAACCAAAAGGCGTATTGTTAGATATGTGTACTCTTTTTCCTTTTCTAGAATTTTTTTCCCATTGGATTTTATTTTAGTTAAGGTTTTAATGAGGCACATTATCGGTTGAATAGACATTCAGAGGGAGTGTTATACATAGAATTTTATTTATGGTGAATGTCTATATTTAGAGAGATTCTAGGGTTTATTACTTGGTTGCTAAGTCACTCTCTCCCCATAAATAGAGGGTTCTATTCCATTGTAATTCATCCAATATCAATAAGAATTCTCTCTCTCTACTTTTCTCTGCAATACTCTTGTTCTTCATTTATTGTTTTATAACAAATTGTAGATTTTGATCGATTTTGTGTATACTTTATAAAAAATTAGTTACTTTCTTTAAATATGAGTTAAATAAACCGAATAAATAAATTTAAAATTTTGTACTTATACGAAAAAGTCCATTTTCAATGGACTTTTGCATCTATACCAGGTTTTGGAGTCACAATTGAACCTATACCCACTTTGAAAATTTTTTTGCAAGCCTATCCACTCTACGATCAAGTTGAGAGTTATTGGGGTCTGAAGTTAAAAAAAATAGTCTGAAGTGAAAAAATTGCACTTCATATGCACTTAAGGCCAAATAAGTCTGAAATGCAACCAATGGTTTCATGCACTTAAGGCCAATAAGTCTGTAGTGAAAAATTGCACTTCAAATGCACTTAAGGCCAAAAGGTCTAAAGTGCAACAAACATTTTCCTACACTTAAAGTCAATAAGTTTGAAGTGAAAATTTGCACTTCAGATGCACTTAAGGCCAAAAGGTCTGATGTGCAACAAACGTTTTCCTACACTTAAGGCCAATGAGTCTGAAGAAAAAAAATTGCACTTCAGATGCACTTAAGGCCAAAAGGTCTGAAGTTTAACCAACGTTTTCATGCATTTAAGGCCAAATAGGCCTGAAGTGAAAATTGCTCAGAAAATAAAAATTTGTTCTTCGAATTTTAACAAATCAATATACGATTTAATACCTAAATCTACTCCAAATGAGCTCAACTTTGAAACATAACCTCTAAATATCATCAAGAACAAAGCCCAATCATCAAATTGTCAAAACAATAATAAATCTAACGAACCGATTTTGCAATTAAGAAAAAAAACCCTAAGAAATAGTAAAAAATAAAGCGCCAATACAGTTCACCACCAAACATCATAAACTACCTTAAAATATGTTCACAAACACCATATAAAATCATTATAGATGACGATGATGATGATGATGATGATGATGATGATGATGGTGAAGAAAGAGGATAAAAAGGCTTGAAGTGGTTTAAACAGTGGGTACAAGTATAAAAAACTTAAAAGTGGGTACATGTTAAATGGGGGCGACCAAATAGGGCGCCCTGTGCAACTTTTACATTCTTAAAAGAAGAATTAACCCAAATAACCACCTATCCAACCGCTTAAACAAAAAATAACAGGTAGAGGTATAATATATAATAATTTATGTATTATATGTGTATAATTATGTATAATCAATACATAAACTATGGGGGAAGTTACATGATATACCCGTTTATAAAACTCACTTTCATGATATACCTATGTTTTAAAATTACATAAAATATCTCAAAAATATTACACGGTATACCTCCATATATTCTAAAACATATCATAGTATTCTACTTTGGAATACAATCCAAACCTAACTTACCATATACTCTAATTTGGAATATAATATTCTAATTAAACAGACCATAATTTGTTAATTTGAAATATATTATTCAAACTAAAGATACCATAATATTCTAACAAAACATACTATAGTATTCTAGTTTAGAATACAGTATTCAAACAAAATATACTACAACGTTTTAATTTGGAATACACTATCCAATGCAAATATACAATAATTTTTAATTTAGAATACAATATTCAAACTAAACATACTACAGTATTCTAATTTGGATACAATATAAATTAAATATATCACAATACTCTAATTTGAAATATACAATATTACATTTTAGAATACAGTATGTATACATGATAAAATAATTTTATAAAATAGATATATAGAGTAAAATAAGTATTTTAATTGTATATGGTGTTAACTGATATTTTTAATGGGCATACTGTGTAGATTATCCTTTCTTTAGGTATCCTTATTTCAATTTCTCTGGTCAAGTAGTTCGACTTTTCTCGAACATGTGCCCTGGCCCTAATACGGAAAACCCCCGATGACACCATTTGCTATTATAAAAAGAACACTAGAGTATATTAAAATGTTTCCATTTCACCAGCAGGTTCATTGTTCAGAAGCCATCAATTTTATTTATCGTCAAAAATAAAATAATGCAACTGGTGAGCCCTTCACCATAATGTGGTTGGTCAAAAATAAAAGTTAGACTAGACCAGTTGGAAATTAATAATCGACATTCGTTCATGGTGTCAATAGAATAACCCTGGTTGCCTACGGAAGTGGATATGTACTGAATTATTCATTGTCGAGTTAGTAGGAGTAGTTATCCTTTGGCTCGATTTTCCGAGGGTTGGTAACATTTTGCTGGGCGAAATTGAAATTAGCCAGATTTATGAGTGGTAATTAAAAAATAACCATAATTTTAATCAATTTTCGATATATTATGTTTGAAACTTTTTGTATGCTAGAGTTTCAGCATAATATGCTGAAATTTCATACCCAGATACTCTAATCTCCAGTATATTATTTTAAAATTTTTTGTATTGCGACAAAATAATAACTATTTTTTAGTAACCATGCCAACGGTAGCTATTTTTTAATTATCAGTCTAAAAACTTACTAGCCCGTGTTATTTTAACTATTCTGCTTCTTACTAAAAAAATGTTACTCCATTTTGTTTAAGCAGCAAAAAACATGAGTTTATCTTTGATTCGTAAAGCACGAATTTACCGATCTAATTAATATCAAAACTGTTTCCATATTTGAGGTCTAAAGAAAGTTAAAAATCACAAATCTTATCCCATCTCCACCGTCAAGCGAAGAGGAAAAAATCACCAAAATAATTAAAACAAAATAAATTTCTAGCAAACAATCCCACACTACTCTTCTTAACCTCGTCAGTTTTTGATAAAGGTTTCAACCTTATCATTAGAGGTGTACATAGGTCGGGTTGGTTCGGATTTTACAATTATCAAACCAAATTAATTATGTCGGATTATTAAATTTAAACACCAAACCAAACCAATAAAATTCGATTTTTTCGCTCTCGATTTTTCTCGGGTTTTCGGGTTATTCGAATTTTTACAAATTTTCTTCCAATAAAATCTTTGTAGAACAAAGCATATAAATTGTGCTCAAAATATTTCTTTAATCCTAGTAAGATATAACTATATAAAGTATTTTTCAAGAAAATAATACAAAATATAAGATGTGTCATGGCATTATCCTAAAATATTCAACAATAAAGACAATAAAATTATATAATATATGTATATATTGCTAATTAAAAAGTCATAATCGAATAAACATATCTAAAAGTACCAAGTCATGCGAAAATAAGTAAACTAATAAGGGAGTATTAATTACATAACTAAACGCTAAAGAAAAAATAAAAATAGGTTATACATTTTTATCTAAATTATTGCAAAACAAAAAATAAATATTATACATCCCGTTCGTAATATTGAATTGAATATTTTTTGTTAGCATTATTGATTTGATTTTGATTTGGGCTTTTGTTAGCATTATTTAATTCACTAATGTTAATGGCTATAAAACTTATTGGAACATTCAAAAGTTCTAAGTCCAACCTTGAAATAATACCTTAAAAGATATTCATAATAAAATTTTTTAAACAATATTTATAAATTATATCACAATAAGTATATTTATATATTAATTATATCTTAAATTTATATACATGTAATGTCGGGTTGGTTTGGTTCCAGTTTGACTTTCTTTGGTTAAAACCAAACCAAACCAAACCAATTATGATCGGATTATTTTTTCCAACACCAAACCATGGTCGAGCTTTTTTTCTCGGTTTGACTCGGATTATCGGGTTCTTGAGATTTGTCGGTTTCCTTTATACACCCTACTTATCATGTCAGTTCCAATTTAATTTAAGCAAAGATGAGGGGAAGAACAATAATAGATATAAATTGCAACTCTAATAGGTAAAATGCACCTTCTATTTGATAAGTTAACAAAAGGCGAGAAAAAAACATAGAACAATTGCCTTCACCAGAATCGGGAATTCCCAAGATTTGCTGAGAACATAAGGAAGGAAGGAAAAGAAAATGAACAACTAGGAGGAATTTATGTGATGGTGACAACCAAGTATTCACGTACAGTACAGTCAAAATTTTTTTTATAATAGACTCATTTGTTCTGATTTTTTTTGGCTTATTATAAAAATTGATTCCGGAAAATATACCGAGTTATTTTTTATAGTAAATAGTTGTTATATAAAAACGAGAGGTGTAACTTTACTAGAATAATAATGTCATAGAATTATGAAACTATCACGTTGTAACATTTCCAAGAACCAACCTTACAGTCTTCGAAATCTACCGATCTATGAAGTTTCAGTTCTGGATCATCAGAATCTACAATAATAACAAAAACTCTATCCATCATTCAAAACTAACCGCTCAAAACAACAAACAAACCTAAATTAAAAGAGAGAATATGTACAAAATTTTAAAAACACATAATTAGACATGAGTAGTTAATTTACTCTTTCTTTTGGCCAAGTTTTCTGCTATCTGCGCCAACGATTGCAAATTGCACCGCACAATTGTATCTACAAAAACACATGTTTCTTCCTTAGTATTCCCTTGTGGAACATCAACCTCGTACGATTCCACCACCATCGTCACGTTATCGTCATCATCCGCTGTGTGCAGCGTCGTCACCGATCGGTAATTGTTAAGCCGATGATCGCCGCCGACGACGCTAAAGCTGAGTACGTGTTTTTCATCGTCTAAAATCTCCAACCTCTCCGTACTAGAAGCTGCGGGAAGGCCAGAAACAACGCGGACTTCCCTTAAGCTACCGACGTTCCCATCGCCGTCGATGACGTGGCAGCTTTTAAGAAAGTGCTTGTATGCTTGCGGGTTATCGAAGCGGCGGACGAGGGACCAAACGGTGCCGATTGGGGCGGAGATGGCTTGTACTACAGCGGAGCAACACTGATCGGGGCCCACAACGTGGGTGTGACAATGCAATACGTAGTCAGGGACAGAAACGGAAACGGGAGTGATCCATGTAGGCTGTGATTGTGATTGCTGTTTGTGGTAGTTACCGGCGAGTGTGGCGGTGCTTGGGTTGATTCTATGCAGCTGAAGTGAAGAAGGCATTTTATAAAATTCCTCTCTTCTTATGGTATGTACAAGAGATGAGAATGGAGAGTATATAAATGTCTAAAATGGAGATTATTATTAGAGATATATATCAATAACAAAATGTAAGTATATGTCTAGACTCTAGAGAGAGGAAAAAAGGAATATAAATAAATGTTTGTCAAGTTGTGATTTCATCGGAGAAAAACTCTTAAAGACAAAATATTAAAGCACACTGCTTACGCTGGCTTCGCTGCAAGTGGGATTATCAACTTGCTTAAAACTCATTTGGACGGAGTCTACTTGCAATTTGCCCTTGTCGTTTCCCTTTTATTACGTGATCCACCCTCTCTGTCTCTTTTCGTTATCCGAGGTTTCCTCTACTTAAATGACGAAACTAGCCCTTTCATTTTGCAATATATACAGCCGACGTACAGTTTGTAAGGCCTAAGGGATACGTCGCAGCTTTGATTCATCTGCCATCTGTCCCTAGATATTGCCACCGTGTTGATATTAGTGCATAGAAAAGAAAAAAGAATGCCACCCGATAAGAGAAGCAATTAAAATTCAGAACTCCTTTTTGTTTTCTTGATCGACCATTTTTCATTTACTTGCAATTATTAATTCCTTCTTTTCAATTTATATGATATTTCATCCGTTTAATTTAGATGAGATACTTTAATTCGGTACGACTAAGAAAAAGTTACGGGGTTATGATATATGGTTTTAAAAATTTAAAGGGTAAAAATTTTATAGGCTCATGATATTTTTATGACTATAAAAGTTTCTCTTTAAGGATAGAATAAAGAGTTTAAAGTTGAATTATTTTCAAAATGTGTCATTTTTTTCGGAACGAACTAATTGTATGGGTCAAAATCCGACCACAGAAATCTTGTCTAAGAGAGGATAACTAAGAGCCGGTTGGGCTGAGGTCACGCTTAAGAAGGAACCTATTGGCGAGCTAAGTGGTTAGGGTCGAGGTCGAGCACTCAAATCAGCCCAAACGGCTAGTTTAGTAATAAGATATTTTAGAGGAATATTCTACGAAATATTCTCTACACTTGTACTTTTAGTTAGGTAAGGGATATGTCCCATATTAGTAGGAATAGAGAGAGAAGAAAGGAGTATGCAATATTCTATATGATAAGCTCTCTCTTGAAAGGTTGACTCTCAAATAAATTACAAACATTGTCTTTACAAAAAGATTCGATTTGTTGTTGGTCCCAAGCTTTCTCACATCAGATCCAAGAAAGTTTTCTATATTCCCACGTTTGTTTGTCTTACACCATTGTGAGAGAGAGAATCATCCACCTCATTGAATATTTGGATGAATTATTCTCTCTATTTACATTTACTGCCATTTAATATATTTATTGCTTGTCATTACTCCATCATACATTTATAATAGTGCCAATAAACACCCCCTTGGTATGAAATAACTTTAAGTGCGCTTTTACGTTATTCACACTTACCAATTTCTGATCTAGGATTTATTATGTTTAACTAGAATTTACCCCTTATCATCTTATTTAATTAGTTTAACAAAAAGGCTTAACACTTTTTGGTCAAGCACTAATAAGGAAAGTGTGTCATCCAAATTAAAATAGAGGGAGTGTGTCATATAAAATTTTAATAAAAAGGATTTTAAAATTTATAACTTAATTATATCATAATATTGTATGATTATTTCACTAAAAAAATTTAAGATAGGAATAAGGTTTGTGTATACTATATGCTCTCCAGATTCCACTTATGAGATCATATGCTGTTGTAGAAAAATCTTAAAATGGAAAATACATCATATAAATTAAGATAGTGTAATATATTTGAAAGAAGAGAAATTTGCACTTTTAGTCCATAATATCAAAATTTTAATTTTGGCTCTTATAATATGATTAAATATATTTAACCTTCAATTAGTTGAAATATGTACTTTTGATTCTTCTACTTAAGAATTTCATAAATTTACGAAGTACTAACTATTAAACTATTTTTTTGGTGGAATGAAATTTCTTTATTCATCACCAGAATATAGGGGTGGGCATTCGATTTTTCGGTTCGGTATTTAAGAATTTTTGTTCGGTATTTCGCTATTCGGTTTATCAATTGTGTATACCAAATACCGTACCAAAATATTTCGGTACGGTTCGATATTTCTTATTTTGGTTCGGTACGGTTTCGGTTTGAACCAAATCTTCACTATCTCCCCCACTCCATTAACTAATGTAATCCATGTTGATCATTGTGCTAACACATGACTATGTTCTTTTTAACGCAGGATTACTATGTTCAGTAGTAGCATAATACGGCCCTTGAAAATTGGACAATAGAAACTCTGTTACGAGTATTTTACTTTCTGTATCATTTAGTTAAAAAGAATCTTCGACAATATTTCCAATGAATAAGACAGGTTAGAGTACAGGAAACTTCATGAAATATCACAAAAGAAATAGTTACATAATCAGTAATTACAGGTAACACTATTTATAACAAGTGGAATTAGTGCGTGAGAATAAGACAAGTAACTATTGGGCCAAAAAATAAAAATAAAGTTGGGCTTGGACTAAAAAATTTCGGTATATCGAAATACCGAAATATCAAAAACCCAATGCCGTATACCGTACCGAATTACCGAAATACCAAAATATCTGTACCGAAATAAATCGAAATACCGAAAAAACCGAAACCGAAATACCAAATTAATTCGTTTCGGTTCGGAATTTGGTTTTTCGAATTTTATGCCCACCCCTACCAGAACAAATACAAATGAAGGAAAGCACTCTATTACTAGCTATATAAAGAGAATCTCGTACTTGCAGTCACCCCCAAATAAGTCTATTTGTTATTCTATTCCTGTACAAGCAATGATCCTAACTATCTAATAGCTATCTATATATTTCTTTCAGCCATCTCTTATCCTTGTCCCTTTTTCATTTGCTTAATAGCTCCGTCACTCGAACTTTGCATTCTTTCTTAATTTAATTGCATACTCTTTGGGGTCTACGAACTGTTCTCTGCTAAAAGCCTCATTCCTTCCCTTCCAGATATGGTAATTCATTGCTGCCAATACTGTATATAAGAACTCTCTCCTCAAGTTACCTCCCATTTTCCTGGCTATTCTTTTCCATAGGTGTTACCCTTCTATATTTGTGATCCTTATCTTTAACCACTGGAATATTTTAGCTAGGCATAACTTGGAGAAATGACACTCATAGAATAGGTGGTTAATGGTTTCTGAAGCATTACCACATAGTACACATAGGCCATCTGAATTGATCCCTTTGAGAGCTACCATGTCCTTTGTAAGCAGCTTATTCTGCATAGTCAACCAGCAAATGAAGCTGTGTTTTGGGATGTTCTGCCCATACCCATCTTCCCCATTGGCATATGTCCAGGTTCCCCTTCAGCCAAGAGTAACCTCTGTGAATTGTGTATTTTCCTGCTTGTGATAGCCACCCTCCATGTACATAACCCCCTGATGTGACATATTTTCTTCCAATACCAGCTATTGTCTTGTGGAACATTGTAATAACACCAATCCACTCTTTTCAAGTAGATATGGTTAATCCACTCGACCCACAAAAAGTTAGCCTTTTGAGTTATATCCCATACATACTTTCATATGGTTGTCTCATTCCATGCCACACAGTTTTTATCCCAATCTCTACCCCCCCCCCCCCCTCTTGTTTTGGTCGACCAACAAGATGCCAGGCCACTAGTGGCACCCTTGTTGTCTCCACCTTACCATCCCCGAGATAATTGCGACAGATAGCTATAATATTTTTAAGCACTACTTTGGGAAGTATGAATATTGATGTTTTAAACGTCAATACCACACAAGAGGGGGAGTGATTTGTGTGGTACCCAATTTTCGCTTAACTGAACTGTAGAAGGACCTGGTTCTTCTATGTGTTCCAACTACTACTGTTTGCGGAATAATAAATAAAGAAAATAAAGAACACAGAGATTTTTACGTGGAAAACACCCGGCTCAAAAGGTAAAAAAACCACGACCTACTACTCAGTAGGATTTTCCCCAACACTTCACTAAATCACTGAGCCAAAATAGCATTTACAAAACTCTTTGTAAACCTAAGGATTACCTCTAATCCCATTGTAGCAACCATCCTCTAACTGCTGCGACAACTTCAAGTTAACTCTAACTTGAATACTCAAAGTACCTATTACAATTGCTTCTAGATAAAGCTGAAAGGTACAATATGAAAACACCGACTACAATTGAACTAGAAATAAAGAAAGACACATAAAACTCTTTATGGAGCTGGTTCTTCAATCTGGTTCATGTAGCTTCAGGTTTGCACACTTGAATCACACACGAACTGCTTGCAAAAAGCCTTGCTATTTTTCTCTCAATTCACGTTTAACTTCTGCGTTTTTGTGCAACAGCTGTAGTGTGAGAACATCCTACAATTTATAGAGTTAGTAGATGAAAAAATAACTAGAATTCTGATGCAACTCTTCCTTGGTGGAAGAGTTCTAGTTGATCTCAACTTCTAACTCCTTCCCTATCTTGGATAATGTTCTCTTTGAATAAGGAGTCCTTCTCCTTATCAATTATGCAACCTTTTTGATCAGGAGATATTAAATACACCAAGTTAAGCTTATCTCCTTCATGTGCATCCCACATGCTCGAATCTGCCTGTTTTTATGAACCTAAGGGATGGACCTGGTTCATGCCTGAGTTCCTTTTTCGGTCTTGAAAACTAACCTTTACTTAGGCCAACAAATTCCCCCTTTTTGATGATGACAAACTCTGTGCTTTTCATACGCTTAGGCCGTGCTTAAACTCAGCTCAACATCAACACAATGTTAGAAACATTTTTCCTTTTTATCACTTATCATCAAGGACCAGGTACATTAGGTTATAAACATCATTGTTCAAAGTCTAAACAAACATCACTTGTTTAAAGCACAATATTTTTCCCCCTTTTGGCATCATCGAAAAGTTGCATAAAAAATATGAGATAACCAGATTTACTCATGGCCACTAGGGCTACTTCAAATGCAAACATGGATTAATCATCACAGATCAAGCTAAAAGAAATATAAACAAACAGTTAGAGCAAAAGACAGTGAATTTCATTGATGATTGATAAGATTCTACCACAAAGCATAAGAAGAAATAAAAATACTGAAAACATAAGCAAAAGAAATAAAAAGTCCCGAATTGGGTCACTGGTTGATCTACACTAGGCTAGGATTTAAGGCTTGGAAGAGGTAGGGGCTGGGTT